CTGTGCTGCTCCCCAGCCCCGCCCACTCCGTCCGGGCCGCGCCTCCGTCTGGCCACGCCCCCGGAACGGCCCTGGCGCCCCCGCCCCGCCGCCCCCCAGCCACGCCCCAGTCACATTGGTAACGCCTCCAAATGGCTGGACACGCCCCCTACCACGCCCCTGCCCTGTCTGCCCGCCTCTTTGCTCTCCAGACACGCCCCCTCCCTCTCTGACCATGCCTTTTACCCATCTCACTGCCGCTCTCCGGCCACGCCTACCCCGCTCAGACCACGCCCCTCGAGGCGTCTGATCACGCCCCTTCAGGAAAGCCACGCCCACTAGCGCGTGCCGGTCCCGCCCACTCTTCTCAAGCCCCGCCCATTGTCCCCCTCAGGAGGATGCAGGCCCGGGAGGAGGGTCCTGCTCCTCTCATCCCATGGGATGGAAACAACACACAGCTGCAAACGCAGAAAACCCCAACCCTGGAAGCGCTTGGAGCAAACGCTGAGTGTTTAATGAGCTGCTAGGCCTGAACTAGGGGCCAAGAGGCCAGTGGGATCCCGGGCTGTGTCAGGAGGAGCACCGGTGGCAGGACATGGCAGCTGCTCCTGCCCCTTCCTCAGCCCTGCTGGGGCTCAGCTGGAGTGCTGTGTCCAGCTCTGGGCTCCTCGGGATCAGCGAGATGTGGACATGATGAAGGGACTGGAGCCCCTGTCGTACGAGGAGCGGCGGGGGGCTGGGGCTGCTGAGCCTCCAGAGTGGAGCCAGGTGAGAGGGGCCCTCAGCGCCGTGTGCCTGCAGGGAGGCCCAGAGCAGGCCCAGCCTCTGCCCCGTGGGGCCAGCAGTGGCACCAGAGCAACGGGCAGGAACCGATGCCCAGGAACTTCCACCTGGCCCTGAGGCAGAACTTCTTTGCTGCGCAGGTGACCAAGCACTGCTGCCCAGGGAAAGCGCGGGGTCTCCCTCACTGGGGACATTCCACAACCATCTGGGCACAATCCTGCGCCCTGCGCTCTGGGACGGCCCTGCCGGGGCAGGAAGGTGGGAGCTGATGGCCTGCTGTGGTCACTCAAACTGGAACTATTCTGGGGTTCATCTCCCCCCGCCACAGCCGCGCCGCTGCTGTCACTGTCCCAGCGCTGGTCACGCCCATTGGCCACGCCCCCGCCTGGCCACGCCCCCCGCTTGGCGCTCCCACGTGGCAGCGCGGGCGCGCGCGGCGGGGACGCGCGTGGGGACAGGGACAGGGGACCTTCCGTGGGAATGGGGGTCTCTCCGTGGGGATGGGGGTCCTTCATGGGGATGAGGCCACCCCCGTGAGGCTGCGGGTCCTTCCACGGGGATGGGGTCCTCCTGTGGGGACGGGATCCTTCTGTGGGGATGGAGGCCCATCATTGGGGATGGGGGTCCTCCCGTGGGGCTGGGGGCCCTTCGTGGGGATTGGGGTCCCTCCATGGGGATGAGGGTCCTTCATAGGCACGGGATCCCTTCATGGGGATGGGGGCCCCATTGTGAGCCTGCGGGTTCTTTCTGAGGCTGAGAGTTCCTTCATAGGACCAGGGGTAACTCCTGGGGCTGGGGAACTCTCTGTAAGGATGAAGACACCTCCATGGGTCTGCAGGTCCTTTCTGGGGCTGACAGTCCCCCCGTGGGTTCAGGGGTACCTTCATAGGGATGGGGATCCCACAGATGGGGCTGGCAGAGCTGCACCTCTCCCCTCTGCCCGTGGGGGTCAGCAGTGGCTGCACAGCCAATGGAGCCAAATTTTGCCGGTGTCTTTATTAGGGATGAAGCTCCACAGGCTGCCACACTGAGCGCCCACTGAACACCATCACCACTGGCCCAGGTGACCAGTGTCGGTGTGGGAGGGCTGTGGCAGGTGACAGGTGACGTGATGGGTGATAACCAGGTGGACATGGAGCTTTGTGAGTGTCCTCACACGTGTGGGCACAGAGTGGGCAGTGGTTTGGTGCCCCTGTGACCACAGCTTGTCCTCTCTCCACGTGCCCAACACCCATGGGTGCTGTGTCCCCACTGCAGGTGGGTGGTGACAGGAAACAGCAGAGGGAAAACAAAATGTACAGGAGCTGCTTTCCCACCCCATCTTCATCCCCAGAGCAGGATTCCAGCATCAGGGAAAGGAGGAAACTAAAGAGAAAGGAGCTTGCAAACAAAAAGGAGACATGACCTTGCCAAGATCCACCTGGGATTCTGAGCTGCTGCACAACAGGGGAAGGAAAGGGATTTCTCTTGCTCCCAGTGTTTTTCCCTTTGTTCTTTGCCTTCAGCCTGGGCTTTGCAGCCTGTTTGTGTTGGCTCCAGGGCAGAGAGAGGAGCCCAGCTCGGGGGTTGTGTTGGTTTTGTTCAGAAATAGCTGCACACATCACCCCCTAGGCAGGAGGTTTCCCTTTTTAAGGGAAAAAGTCAAAGGGAAGAGTTGTGTTTGCTGGAGTGCTCACGGTGTGGAGAACACCCAGCTGCCAGGAGGAGGCTGTGGCTGGGAAGGGCTGGCTGTGCCCACCTGTGCTGTCACTGTCCCCACACTGTCCCCCTGCCTCTGACCGGGCTGGCCTCTGGTCACCTTGTGAAAATCCCTTGTTTTAACCCAGCCCTCTGCAGTGGAGCTCAGCCACTGTCACACTGTCACTTTGTCACACTACCACATTGTCACACCCTCACACTGCCAGGGAGGGAAGCCCAGGCTGGGAGATGCAGCACCCCGAGGTGTGGGGAGCATCTACAGATGGATTTGGACTCAAGACTTGATCCCTCCCAACTGAATTTCCAAGGATTTCTCCTCCTGAAGCAGCCTTAGTTCAGCCTTAAAAATTGAATTTGGGACACAACTGACTTTTTCACTCTTCTTCCTGCAAATGCTGAAGGGTTTGGAATCCCCTTATGATCAGCTTTAATTAAGAGCATTGCTTTAAACCTAACTGCTGCCATCGGTGATACCTAAATCTTAAAATTCCTAGCTTTTGTCCTTGCTGGCTTTTGCAGCTCAGATATTTTTTATTACTTTTTAAAATAAATTACACCACCTCCTGTTTTCGCTGTTGCAGTTACACGGGCAGCACTCCCAGGAAAGGAATTTTCCCTCTCCAGCCACTGACAGAGAGTATCCCTATGGAATGCTGTGCCTTGGGAGAGCTCTGCTGAGTCCCACAAACACAATCCCGGCCATCACATTCCCGATGGAGCTGAGTCTGAGCTGCATTTTTGGTTTTCCCCCGTGGCAGTGCTTCCAAGAGCTTTCTCCCCATTCCTGGCACTCAAAGCACTCTGTGGGTTTCACATCCCGACGATGTTTAAAGAGGTTGTACTTGGTTATGTTCATTGTGGTTTTTATGTAAATCACAAGGAAAGACACATGAAATTGGGGCTGTTCAGCCTCCAAGGGTCCAGCCATGGTTCCCATGACAGGATATCCATTTTGGAGTGTTGTTTTGGAGTGTCCCATGCCTGGGTACCCATATTGGGGTGCCTGTGTTGGAGTGTCCTTGCCAGGAATCCCATGCCAGGATGCCCTTTTTGGGGTGTCCTTTATGGGGCACTCGGGATGGGGTGACTGAGACAGGGTGCCCTGTCCCCAGGTGACATTACTGGGGTGCCTGTTTTGGGGTGCCCATATTGAGTGCCCCATGTTGCAGTCTCCAGGCTGAGGTGTCTGTGACAAGATGCCCATTTTGGGATGCCCATTTTGGGGTGCTTACATTGGGGTGCCCCATGCCTGGGTGCCCATATCGGCACACCTGTGCTGGCGTGTCTTTGCTGGGATGCCCATGTCAGAATGCCCTTTTTGGGGTGTCCCATGTAGGGTTGTCCTTGATGCTCAGCATGGGGTGACTGTGCCAGGGTGTCCTGCCCCCTGGTGACAAAAGTGGAGTGCCCAAATTGGGCCCATATTGCTGTGCCCATGCCAAGGTGTCTGTGACAGGATGCCCATTTTGGGGTGCCCATATTGGGGTGCTCTCATATTGTAGTCCCCATGCCAAGGTGTCTGTGACAGGATGCCCATTTTGGGGTGCCTGTTCTGGAATGCCCATATTGGGGTGCTCCCATATTGCAGTGCCCATGCAGAGCTGTCCATGAAAGGATGCCCGTTTTGGGGCGCCCATATTGGGGTGCTCCCGTATTGCAGTGCCCATGCAGAGGTGTTCGTGACAGGATGCCCATTTTGGGGTGGCCATTTTGGGGTGCCCATTTTGGGCTGCCTCATGTTGCAGTCTCTATGCCAAGGTGTCCATGACAGGATGCCCATTTTGGGGTGCCCATTCTGGAGTGCCCATATTGGGGTGCTCCCATACTGCAGTCCCCATGCCAGGATGCCCATTTTGGGGTGCCCGTATTGGGCTGCCTCATGTTGCAGTCTCTATGCCAAGGTGTCTGTGACAGGATGCCCATTTTGGGGTGCCAGTTTTGGGGTGAACCGCACTGGGGTGCCCCATGCCCCAGTGTCCATGCTGGAGTACCTGTGTTGGAATGCCTTTACCGGGGTGCCCGTGGTGCGGTGCCCCTATTGGGGCCCCACATCCATTTGCCCCATGAATGGTGCCCGTTCTTGCCCCATGGGGGTGCCGGTGTCGGGGTGTCCGCCTGGCCCCGGCACAGACCCTGCTCGCCGCTCCCTGCTCGTCCCCGCGAGGTGGCGCCGGCGGCCCGGGAGAACCGGGGGGACACGGCGGGACCCGCCGGGCCGGGGGACACCGTGGGACCCGTGTCGGGGGCAGGGCTGCCGCCTTAGGGGGCGATGGACGCCCCGAGTTTGGGTGGTGGGTGAGCTGTGGCTGGATGGGGGCGGTGGGTTCCCCATCGGGCACCCAGTGCGGGTGAAGG